AATTAAAAGAAAAGAAATAAAATAATAAAATAAAACAAAGAAAAAAATAGAGACGGGCACTTGTGGCTCACACTTGTAATCCTAGTTGATCAGGAGGATCAAGGTTTCGAAGCCAGCCCAGGCAAATAGTTCACAAGACCCTAGCTCAAAAAAAAAAAAAAAATCACAAAAAAGGGCTGGTCGAGGGGCCCAAGTGGTAGGCCCTAACTAAGTTCAAACCCTAGTACCGAAAAGAAAAAAAGGAAGCCAACCGTGGTGGTACATATGTGTAATCCCAGCACTGGGGAAGCTGAGGCAGGGGGATGGCAAGTTTGAGGCCAGCCTGGGCTGCATGGCAAACCCTGTCTGGGGCGGGGTGGGGGCGAGGGGAGAGCTGGGCATTGATGGCTCATACCTATAATTCTAGCTACTTGGGATGTTGAGAATCAGAGCAAAATGCACTGGAGGTGTGGCTCAAGTGGTAGATCACCTGGTTTACAAGCCTGAAGGTCTTGAGTTCAAACCTCAGTCCCACCAAAAAAAGAAAGGAAAAGAACAAAAGAAATGACACATTACCTTCTTTAATAAAGTATCTTGTTTTTTGTCGTTTAACTTTAATACATGATCATTATGGGAAAATTCAAAATGAAGGAAAAAGTATCTTTTAAAAATCCACCCACTCTCCACATCCAGATTCTTCATGTCTCTCTGCTCATGATGACAGTGACAGCTCACACTGTTCAGCCCTGGTATGTGATGGGCACTTATGTGGCTTCACTTACTTCCTAACAGCTCCATGAGTGGGCACTGTTAAGTCCACTATGTGGATGGGAAAACTGAGGCTTAGAAAGAGGAAGTAACTCACCCAAGATCACCCAGCTGTGAGGAGAAAGAAGGGCCCTTGTTATTCCTCTGGGAGCCCTAAGTGTTGTTTTCTTTTTCCTTTTACTTTCTTCTTTACTTTTAAAATATTGATTTATTTTTAATTTTTTGTGGTACTGGGGTTTGAACTCAGGGCTTTGCACTTGGTTCTACCACTTTAACTACCTCCAGCCGTCTTTTACTTTGGGTTGTTTTTCAGCTGGGTGGCCCTGGGACTGTAGTCCTCCCTGTTGCCCCCAGCCCGCACAGGCGGTGCTTCACGTATATACTGCCACGCCCAGTTTGTTTGCTGACTAACTTTTTGCCTGGCTAACCTCACTAACTTTTTGCCTGGCTAACCTCAAACTATGATCCTCCCAGTCTACCCTTTCTGTCTTTTTCTCTTTTATTGTTTCTAACATTTACTCACATGCATATGCATTGTTTGGGCCACCTCCCCTCAACCCTTTCTCTTAAAATCCCTAATACTCCAGGTTCTGGGGTCTTGTAGGAAGTGTGCTATCCGGTTTGGGTGTCATGCAGCAGGTGCCTTCTGCCTGCTCATGTCTGCCCTTGCCTGTTCCCTCTCCAGGCATCATGGCCATCCTGTTCTCAGGCATCGTGATGTCACACTACACACACCATAACCTCTCCCCTGTCACGCAGATCCTCATGCAGCAAACCCTCCGGACTGTGGCCTTCCTGTGCGGTGAGTCCTGCCTCAGTGTGTGCCCACACAGCTAATCAGGTTTCCTGCCCTGTGATGGGCATTGGCTGAGACTTTCCCTGGCTTTAGGACACCAGACTCCCCCAGCCAGATGCCCCACTCCCTTACCTGTGCTTGTTCCTCTGGCTTTGCCATTACATGGGGTAAACCTAGCACCTAACAATAAACCAAACATAGTGAGAAGTACTGATATGAACATTTGAGACATGTGTTTCTAATGTATGACAGTGACATTTCTAAACATAACTTCCTTGGAAATTATACTAATGAGAGCTTGATGAAAAAGGCTCCATAGTGAAAAAGGAATTGGGGATCCTGGGTTAAACTGTAACAGGTTTTCAGTAGTGGGTATTGCGGGTGTCTGCTAGAGGGATGCTATCCCTGCATTTTCCCAGCTGCTCCACAGAGCCCTGTGGATAAAAGCAGACTGAAGGACCAGTATGCATGGGGATCCCACAGGTGGTGTCACCTGCTAGCTAGGATAGATTCTGAGGACTTTTTCTTTCCAGCAGGTTCAGGTTGAGCTCCTGCTCTCCTCCCCCAGGCTGCTCCTGGGTCTCCTCCCCAGTATGTACCTGGAAAGAAGGAGCCACTCACACACCATCCCTGCTCAGCTGGCCCCCAGGGGCTGTGCCTCAGCTGCTGTCAGCAGCATTGCCTGGCACTTCAGGAAACGTGTCTCACTTTGAAGTGCAAGGAGGGCGGGGATGTCTGTGCAGAGACAGGCACTTGGGTGAGGAGGTTCAGGTGACAAGAGGCCAGATGGCTCCTTGCCAAGAAACAGGATCAGAAGCCAGACCTCTTTTTCCTGGGCCCATGGGTATTCCATAGCACCCATCTCAGAAAGCCATGGCAGAAGATTCTGACCTTGACCCTCACCATCAAAGGAACCTAAAGTAAAGCATTCAGTTCTGTTTGATACCCATCAGAGGCAAATTATCTGCTAAATAGTACTCAGTTCTGGAATGGGTGTAGGGCCAGGCCCTGGGACGGCGTGAGCACTGACAGCCATCTCTTTTGGAGTCATTTGCAGTGCTTGTCTGAATGTAAAAGGCCTGGGCCAGCTGCCCCGACAGTCCAACCACGAAGAATTCAGCCTGTGTGCTGTAGCTTGTAGTGTCAGAAATAAGTAATGCAATGGCTGACTGCAGAGGGTGGCCTAGATCAGCCAGGTGTATCCAGGTGTGAGAATCGGTGCTGTCAGGGAAAGACACACAGTACATCCGGGTGTGTTTAAATGTACTGATTTGGAAAGATCACAAAAATATTAAATAAATATGAACAAATATTGCCCGACACTGTTGGGTTATGCCTGTAATCCTAAACCATGTGGGAGGCTGAGATTTGAAGGATCATGGTTCAGTGCCAACCCAGGGAAATAGTTTGAAAGACTCCATTTCTAAAATAACCAGAGAAAAATAGACTGGAGGTATAGCTTAAGCAGTAGAACACCTGCCTTGTAAGCACGAAGCTTTGAGTTCAAAACCCCAGTCCCATCAAAAAAAAAAAAAAGATCAAGGAGGGGAGGGGTCCTGGGCTTGTTTCATAAGGACACGTGACCAAAGAAACACACTGGTGAAGTGTTTAACACAGCCCTGTTTGTTCAGGATGTTCAGCTATTTTAAAATATGGCCCCTGCCTCCCTAGTTATTGGGCTATTCTGAGTAATGTCATAGTTTAAGCAGGGAGCCTGGAAATTTATAAGGTGCATTTTCTTAAAATACACAGTGACTGCTTGTACACTGAGTCTCTGTCGGGCCCTTTTGTACAGAGGGAGTGGAGGGGAGAGGAGCCAGGAGCTAGAAGCGGATCTCTTCCTGCTCATTCTGCTGGGTGTGGTTGCATTCTAACCCTTGGGCAGAGGTAGATAGGTCAAGTCAGTCATTTGGCTTTGTCTAGCCAGGCAGGAAGTTAACAAAAGACCCCTCTCCCTTGTCCCATGGCAACTCTAGTGTTCGCTGTGAATTGTTGCCACTTGGCCACTGTCGAGATCCTTGCTAATCACAGTGTTCAGTAAATGGACAGATTTGTATGTTTATCATCTCCTGGGTGGCAAAGCATTTATTTGTGTAGACATTTGACAGTTGACTCATTACATTGGGAAGCCCTGAGTAGCAAGGACACATGGCTTGTGTAACAGAAAAGAGAGAATCTAAGCACAAAGTAAGGTGTGGCTTAGGTGGTAGGGCACCTGCTTTGCAAGCCTGAAGCCAGTCCCGCAAAAAAAACAAAAAAAAAGGCAGCCATTAACTAGTAAACTGAATACTGGTTGTAGGATTTTCCAGAAAGTAAAGGGAAGTGTAATATTAGATTATGGCTTCCACATGTTGTTTTCTTAACAGTTGAATACTTTGTTGAAGAAAACAGTTGGGGGTGAATAATCCATTCTTTGATTTGTTTCAGAAACATGTGTGTTTGCATTTCTTGGCCTGTCCATTTTTAGTTTCCCTCACAAGTTTGAAATTTCCTTTGTCATCTGGTGCATAGTAAGTATTTTCCTTGCTTTTTATTGTTTATTTTAGATCAATAACCACATGTTCTGAATTCATTTATGTAACTGTTAACAGTTCAGGTCAACAGCTACATAGACACTCTTCTGTTTAAGATTTCTTTTGTTAAAAAATCACAAACATGCAATAAAGGGGCAAGGAATGAAATAAGTGAATGAATATCCCTGGAAGAGGACTTTCAGGTTTTTTTGTTTTGTTTTGTTTTGTTTTGTTTTCTAATGCCCTTGAATATTATGGTTTCCTTTAAAAACTGTAGCTTTAGGAAGCGGATAGGAGGCTCAGAGTTTGTGGCCAGCCTGAGCAAAAAAGTTACCAAGACCCCATTTCAACAAATAAGCTGGATGAAGTGATATAGGTCCCAGCTACTTGGGAGGCCGTAGGTAGGAGGATCACAGTGTGACCAAACTAAGTCTGACCCCAAGTAAAAATTCAAGACCCTATCTGAGAAACAACTAAAGCCAAAAAGAACTGGAGGCATGGCTGAGGTGGTAGAGTGTGTGCCCTGCGAGTCTGAGGCCCTGAGTTCACACCCCAGGGCTACCAAAAATAAAAAATAAAAATATCCAGCCCTCTCAGGCTCTTATCCCTATACGTGAATGGCTTCTCCCACTTGGGCAGTTTGCGTAGTGTGCTCAGGTCCTTGTTCTTGTCTGCCTCATGTCTCTTTTTCTTCAGTGTGAGCCCATCCCGCAGGCCCTACTGCTGGCACATTCTCGAGCCCCTCACTGTGTTAATTTGAGGCACTCCCAAGCATGTTAATATTCAGCCATAGGACCAGACACAGCCAGTGGGAAGCAAACTTTTAAGCACTGTCACTTACCATGGCAAACTGGTAAGGCCTGTCCATTTGGCACATGGGGAAACTGAGATAGAAAAGATAGGGAGCCCTAAGGAAAAAGATGCTCCCTGGCCATTGGGGTTCTCCCACCTCCCTGTTGGTAAGCGCTTGCCTGTTTGTCACAATCATCTGTCCTCTGAACTCAGGTTTCAGGACAAAAGAACCACCGCAAATGCCTTTTACAGAAGATCCAGTGGTTGACAATTTGGTCAACCATTGGTCAGGGGGCTACATTGGTCAGACCTGAAACACAAGTAGAGAATGTAAATGGAACTTCACAGGGTGAAACAGGGAGGCAACTTTCAGCTGTGAATTGGAAGGAAAATGTGAGGGTGCCTTGGGGATAACCCATTTTCCCTTGTCCCCATGCTCAGGCTGGCCCTGTAGCTCTTGGAGACACCTGGGCAGCACAGAGGGTTACAGTTCCACTCTCAGACTCAGCCTGACAGTCTAGAGGGGGGCTTTGGGGCTTCACCCAGGTTTGAGACATGGATCCACCTCTTCCTGCCTGGTCAACTTGGACCTGTTACTTTCCCTCTCTGTGCCTCAGTTTCCTTGTCTATATTATTGTCTAATAATACCTTCACAAGACCGCTGCAAGGAAGTAAATTATCCTGGTGTGATGCATGTAAACTGAAATGCTTAGCACTTTATTTGGCATAGAAATGTTTGCTGATTCAATGTACTTATTGTCAACTTGACCGTCACCCACACACCACACAGCAACCTCTGCTCATGCCTATTGAAGAATAAACTTAAGCCAGGTGTGGTGTTGACACCTGTAATCCCATCCCTCAGGAGACTGAGGCAGGATAAGGAGATCCAGGACAGCCTGGGTTACATAGCAAGATCTTGTCTCTAAAAGCCAAATACAAATAAAATGAAAAAGAATAAACTTAAAGCCTAAGGAATGTGTTATAGCATCCATTTAAAGTTAGTTGTGGGGCGAACCGAGATGAAAATGGAGGAAGTTCATAAATGGTTACGAATCTTCTCGGTAAGATTTGAACTTTACATGGAGCTGTATTTTGCTTTTGTTTTTGTTTTGTGCAGGACCCTGCACGTGCTAGGCAAGGTCCCCGCCCTGGTCCCCGCCCCTGGCCCGTGGTGTCAGGTCCGCATGCTTTGGGGGATGGCAGAGGCTGCCTAGGGCGGGGTTCCTGTGGAGCAGTCCTAGGTGCTCGGCTTCCTTTTGTCCACGGCCCGGTGGGCCTGGGGAATGGGGCCCCACGGGAGGGGCGGACGCCTCATCTGCCCCGTGGTGGTGCCTTCGGGGTCAGGCTGCCTCTGACTCCTCTCTGGACACTTGTGCCTGACCTCTTGGCACTCGGCCTTGCTCTGCCTTCATCACTGCACCCTTGGTGCCGCCCGTCCTCGCTCCCACCGCTAAACATAACCTACAGCGTTTACAGCGTCCCTGCAGACGCAGGCAGCGCACCGCACGGCTCGCGCTCCTCTTCTGTCGCTCGACTTGTGCGGTGGAGAGGGAGCCGGGCGTGTCCATGCGCTTTAGATGTCACAAGCACCCGTGCAGAAGCAGCTGCTCTGTCTAAGACGGCTTCTTGTTGTCAACAGGTGCTCGTGCTGTTCGGCAGAGCGGTCAACATCTTCCCTCTCTCCTACCTGCTGAATTTCTTCCGCGACCACAGGATCACGCCCAAGATGGCGTTCATCATGTGGTTCAGTGGTAAGTGCGGGCGGGGACGCCACGTGGGGACGCCACGCGGTACCACGTGGGCACCACACGGGGAGCCCGAGCCTTTTAAGCCATTTGCCTCATAAACCAGAACAGTAACAGCTCCCACTTACCAGGTGTCTCATGTAAGAGACGCCTTTCCTTCCTGCAGCACTGTGGAGTGGGCATCTCCTCTGCTTTCCAGATGGCAGACCCACTCAGGACCCATGACCACTGCTGGCAGAGTCAGGGGCCGCCCTTCCTCTGCCCACTCCCTTGGAAGGCTAGCAGCCCAAGGCGAAGTGCACTGTGCAGCTCTTACCTGTGTGTTTTCTCCTTTGGTCTTGGTTTGGGGTACCTGTGGCACTGGGGTGTAACCCCCACTTGCACACATGTGCTTGGCAAGTGCTCTACTCGTGGTCCCAACCTCCAACCCCACAGGCTAGTGTCACTTACTTCCCATCAGTCACAGATTCCCAGCGTTTCATTTGAAGGTTTCGGCTGCTATGCAGTTATATCCCCTACTTTTTCAAGGGAGGAAATGAGTTCACAAATCTTTGGCTCCCAAAGAACCAGATCCTTACACATCTTTAAATTTATTTTGGAGCAATACGTAAGTTCTTTATCCTTTCCTGTTTAAATACTGTAACTGGAATACTTTCATATGGGTTTGGAATGTAGCAAGATGATTCAGTGTTCTCTGTCCAGCGCCTATCTGTAAGTTTACCTCACCTCTCTCTTTTTGTTTTTTTGTGGTACTGGGGCTTAAACTCAGGGACGGCACCTTGAGCCACTCCATCAGCCCTTTTCTGTGATGGGTTTTTTCAAGATAGGGTCTCATGAACTATTTGCCTACTCTGACTGATCTCTGCCTCTGGAGTAGCTAGGATTACAGGTGTGAGCCACCAATGCCCAGCTTATCTCAGATTTATTTTCTCTCAAAAGGCATATTTTAAAAATACGTGCGTGCCTGTAATCCTACCTACTCAGGAGGCAGAGATCAGGAGGATCATGGTTGGAAGCCAGCCTGGGCAAATAGTTCATGAGACACTATCTCAAAAAACCCCATCACAAAAAAGGGCTGGTGGAGTGGCTCAAGGTGAAGGCCTTGAGTTCAAACCCCAGTACAGCAAAAAATATGTATATGTGTGTGTGAACTGGGTGTACTGGTGTACAACTGTAATCCTAGCACTTGGGAGCATTCGGATGGCAAATTCAACGCCAGACTCTATCTCGAAAAACAAAGCATATTTGATATGTATGAAGTGTATACATGTATATATTCATTCACAGTAAGAGAGCCTCATTTTTTTTTTCTTACTCATTTTCACCAATGAGGAAAAAAGTAGTTGATCCAAAGTCTTAAAAGTCTCCAAGAGAATCTCAGAGCGCGTCCGATGTTTTACAGTCAGATGAGCTCCTAGGGGACGTGGTGCTGAGAGCCCTCCCCGGGAGGGCTGTTAGTATTGAGGCATGGGCTCCCTGCACTCTCCCCAGGCTGCACTGGGCCCTCTGTGGTGCATTTCCATCCTCTTTCCTGGGTCCCCAGCTTCTGTCTGCCAGCTCCTCCATAATCATTTAAATGTCAAAAGTTCTCCAACAACTTCAACTACAGGTGCCCCCCCTCCCCCAGCTGCCTTCCAGCTCCTTGTGTGGCGGCCACACCTCCAGGTGGGCCAGGCTCACTTGTTTTCTCTGCTTCACCTTTCATCCTCTGTGCTGGCATTAGCCCTGCCTGGCATACCAGCAGCTCCTGCAGCCAGGCCTACTGAATACGTCCTGGGCTCTGGGCTTCCTCTTCTCGCACACTTGCCTGCACACTGCAGACCCCTCCATCACCTGCCTGCCGTGGAGCCTCCCCGGGCTCCTGCCCAGCTGTCCTGCACTGACTCCCAGAGGGTGGCATCCTTAGGACTCAGCCCCAGCCTACTCTGTGCTTCATTAAGGGACTCGCCTGTCCCCTGGCCTCAGCATCCACCTAGCTCCTCCCTAGGACTTCAGCCCCCTTTCTCACCACCTCCCTGAATACTGTGGGCTATGACAAGCTCCCCATGCTTGAGCCCCGCTCACCTGCCTTGAGGCTTGCCTTCCTTCCCTTCCTCAGGTGCATTGGCCAGGTGTGCTGGGTGCGCATCACACGTACCAGGTCACTTCATCCTCTGGCCCTTGGGACAGATTTGGAGAGGCAGAGCATTTGCTCACCCCTCCTGAGACTCTGAACTCTGCCCCTCTTGGGTCTGGACTGAGTTTAGACTAACTCTCCAGCCCCTGCAAGCCAGGGCTTCCACTTCCCTGTCTGGCCTCTGTGTCCCGTTTCCCCCACGTGCACACTCAGCATCATGCTTGCCGTCTCTTCCCAGCTGCTCTGAGAGCCAGAGGGCAGGCCTTTGGATGCCTGCTTCTGGTTCTACAGAACCAAGCCGTCTCCCAGCTCAGCCCAGGCCTTTGGCCACGTCCCAACAGCCTCGCTAACTCCCATCCCTGGCCAGGCAACCAGAGCCCATCAGTGCTGCCAGGGTCTCTGTAGAAATAGTGCCCTCCAATACACAATGCTGTTGCCTGTGCTGAATGGGGGCCCCTGGGCAGGACACTGTGTGTTCTTGCTTGGTCCTCTCCTATGAGTTGTAGAACAGTGGTACCTGCTACCCAGGGTTTTCTGTGATGGTCTGGGGACACTGGGGGAATGCTTAGAGCAGGGCTCACAGCAGCCGTTATGTCATCACATAGTCTATGGGTCCCCGTTTGAGCCTGACCGGGTCACCTCACCTAATGTCCCAGCTGGCCCAGGCTCCCTCTGCAGCTGCCCTCTTGCACCCGGAGCTGCCACCTCCTCTTCCTTCCTGGCCCACTGACTCACTGCTGTCTCCCAGGCCTGCGGGGTGCTATCCCCTATGCCCTGAGCCTGCACCTGGACCTGGAGCCCGTGGAGAAGCGGCAGCTCATTGGCACCACCACCATTGTCATCGTGCTCTTCACCATCCTGCTGTTGGGCGGCAGCACCATGCCCCTCATCCGCCTCATGGACATCGAGGACGCCCGGGCACGCCGTAGGACCAAGAAGGACGTGAACCTCAGCAAGACGGAGAAGATGGTCTGTGCAGGGGCCTACACGTACCCGCCATGACGCACACACACATCCCCCATGTGTACACATACACCGCACACATATCCACAAGTACACATGCACACTCCAGCCCAGTCACCCAAGCTGAGAAGGAACTTGGGTTCTGAAACATGGCTTTGTTGGGTAGCATGTCTGGCCGGGTAACGGTGGCTGAAGCCACAGAGGCCACAGGCTGGCCCCAACCAAAGCCTGAGGCACTGGAAGCAGAGCTTCCTAACAGGGCTCCACCCTGCCAGTAGCTAAGGCCTTGCTAAGCCCAGGCCTGGAAGATCCCAAAATTTCAATGTTCCTACCACTTACTCAAAACCTCGTTGGGGCCCAAGGAGGAGAGGGCAGTGGCCACGAGGGCCATGAGGGGAGTGGCTTCCCCCGAGGACAGTAATGCATGACTAGGACGGGAGGTGCCCTGGGTCCAGCTGATGTGGAAACTGAGCTCCTCTGCACCAGCCCACCTCTGCTTCCTGCAAGCTGCCCTGCCCACTTTCACCCGCAGGCCCGAGAGCTTAGGCCGGCCATCTGACAGCTCAGCTAGGTTCTCTGGCTCCTTCCTCTCCTCTCCCTGGCCCCGCCCCACATTCCCTCTCTTCCAAATGTCAATAACTTTGGTCAGTCATCAAAGGCACAGGACTCCTCACGTGGCCTGAGAGGAGAGAATAAGGTCTGATGGGCCATGCCATCCTCTCAGCCTGTACCAGCACAGGGCTGATAAACATCAGGGCTGCCTGATGTTTAGGGGTTGCCACGTGGGGGCTCCAGGTGACCACAGAGGCCCTTTCCCCAACCCAGCCACTAGCTTGCTTGTTTTTTAACAAAAGCTTTCACATAGGCTTCTGCTGGATATCAGAATGGGCAATGGGCTTGTCGCAGACTTTTCTCTGGCCTTAACATCAGCATTGTGTTAAGGGTAGGGCCTGAAGAGAACTGACATTTCTCACAACATGCCAGGTGCTGCTTTCACTGCTGAGGTGACAGCCTCTCTTGAAAAAACAGACTGGCCGGGCCACCTTCTGCTGCATGCGTTGTGGTAAAGCACTTGGAGGGTGGAGGGTCTCAGGCCAGCCCAAGACCCTACAGGAGGCTGGTGCTTTCATGGCCCCATCCTACAGATGAGGCTGCCAAGTCTCCTGGAGAATCCAGTCACATTCTGGAGCCTGTGCTCTTGACCACACTTCACACACTGGTCTGGACCAGCAGCAGCTCTGGGAACCTATTAGGGATGCAAATTCTTGGGTCCTATCCTACACTTACTGAGGCAGAAACTGCAGCGGGCAGAGTTGCCCAGTGTTCCAGGTGCTGCTGATGGGGCCTAGAGCTCAAGCAACCTCCAACCTCCAACTTCTCCACTGGCCCAGGCTGGGAGGGTGGTTGATAGTGACCTGCAGCAGAGTGGACTCCTGTGCTCCAATCGTAACCTGCTGGGGTGGGGCTGATCAGGCTTGGGGCAGTGGACCTAAGTCCTTACCTCCAACCTCCCACTCCACTTGGAGCCCTTGTTTTCCTCCCCCTCCCTTCCCTGCCCACCATGGAGCCAGAGCTTCTGACTTAGCTGTACCAGGTGGGCCCAGGTTCCCAGGAGGTTCTTTGTGCCCACAGTCACCCTGCACTTTACAGTTAGGGTTGGGGACACTGGCACCAGGGCTTGGCAGTGTGGGCCCTTGGGGAGATACCAGCTGATGGTGTCTGGCTCCTTGTCCAGGGCAACACCATTGAGTCGGAGCACTTGTCGGAACTCACTGAGGAGGAATATGAAGCCCACTATATCAGGCGGCAGGACCTCAAGGGCTTCATGTGGCTGGACGCCAAGTACCTGAACCCCTTCTTCACAAGGCGGCTGACCCAAGAGGTAGGATGCACCGGGGTCCATTGCTTCCCCTCAGCAGGACCTGCAGTAGCCATGGATGGGGTGTAGGTGGGGCTGCAGGGCCACTTGGGCCAGCAGTGCATCACTGCCCCTGTGGGCCAGGTGAGCTGTGGGACTTGGTCCTGTGCTGCTTCTCCTCTGTCATGTGTGTGGTGTGTACTGTGTAATACACTCCTTCATAGTTTGGTTTGCCCAGAAAGTCGTCTGGACACATGGATCAGCTCCTGAAGCTGAGCTAAGGGGTTTCAGACATACCGTACCTCAGACAGTGGCCCATAGTGCAAGTGCAGGGCTATTCCTGCATCCCTTAGGGTCCCCCTGCAGCCTGTGTGATACAGGCCTTGGGGTGGAGCTGGGTTCTCCCTGCTGCTGCCCCTTCCAAGACCCGTCTTTGCTGTCTAGCAGCATGACAGCCTCAGAGGATGCATCCTAGGAGCTGGCTGCTGCACCATGCTCTTCTTCTCCAGCAGCCTTGCAGGAGATGCTGGTATCTTACTTGACAGCCAGGGAGACTGAAGCCCAGGGAGGAGAAGCCCCACCCCCCAAGGTCACACAGGCAACACGTGGCACTTCATGCCATCGACCTGCTCCTCCTCTCCAGTGTGCTGAGCACCGCCCCCTCATACCTCCACTCCACCCTGCAGAGAAAAGCCCCAGTTGCCAGGTGGCCAGGTAACAAAACACTTTGACATTGTCTGCAGCAATGTCACACAGGTACAAAGCAGCCTCCCCCTTTTCCTCCACCCTGGTCCTGGCCCACTGACAGGGTCTGCTGCATCTCTTGCCCCAGGACCTCCACCATGGACGTATCCAGATGAAAAGTCTCACCAACAAGTGGTATGAGGAGGTGCGCCAGGGCCCGTCCGGCTCTGAGGATGACGAGCAGGAGCTGTTCTGATGGAGTGGGTGCAGGCCATCTGGACAGCCAGGGCTCTGCTGCCCACAGAAACTCAGCAGGACCCGGAGGTGAATGTGTTCAGCAGCCTGTCAGGAAAAGAGCAGAGTGGAGGGAAGGCTGTGGCCTTGGCGTGGAACTTTGCAGGTCACTGGAGCTAGTGGCTTCAGGATGCAGCTGAGCTCCACAGTCCTCTTCAAGTGGGGCCTCTGCTCTAGCATTGCTTCCCCACCACATGGCTCAACCATCATCCCAAGTAGACGTTCCTTCATTTTGCAGCCTGGCTGAATGGCCATCCTTCCCCAGGAGGAAATGCCAGGAGCCAGTTGTGACAGCTTGCTTGGATCATCTCACTCCCAGACTGTACCTCAGGAGCGATTTGCTGACGTGGGCAACTGTGCCTCTGTGAGGAGCTACTACCATTGGCTGAGTCACTGAAGTGCCTGGATGTCAGCAGCAGCCCTTCTGACCTAGTGGCAGGGCCTAGAGACCTTGGAAACCTCATACACTCCCTGTGGTGTCCTGTACTCCTGGAGAGAAAAACAGGGACCTTTCTCCTACCTCTAGTTGGCGCTTCCCAGCTGGCCTTCTCAGGCAAGGTTCAACTGTTACAGTGGTACCCTCTCCAGGGCCAGCCTTTCCACAGCCCTGGTATGCTGCCAGCCTGGGCCGGCGTGGGAGGGTATGGAGCCCATCCTGTGGGGTCGGAGCGCTCTCTGGTGACAGGAGTGAAAATACAGGGTTCCTGTGGGCAGCTTCAGGTCATGCACTTTCCCCAAGTGTGAAAGACTGTAGCCCCCTCTCTCATTTGCTCTCCCTCACTGCTGTTCCCCCACCCTGTACTTCTTGTCACTCCAGTCAGAGGTCCGTCTCCCAGTTCCTTGCTGTCTGGGGTCCCATCAGTCCTTGCCAAGGTTCTAGCTGCTCAAAGCACTGGAGCAGGAGAGCCCAGGACTCTCCCACATACCCAGAACACTAGTGCCCTTGAGTCACACCTGCACACACCCCAGCAGGCACCTGCCAGTGGCCCTGGCTTCCTCACTGTATCAGGTGAGGAGCTACCAATCACGTTCACATGAAGTGGAGTTACCCAAGTCTGTGCCTCACTCGCCCTTTTCACAGCTGCTGGGTTTTGCCATCCACAGGCTTTTGATAACTTCCATGTGTGACTCTGGGCAACTGTGTCCTATAGTGGGTTGATTCATCATGTGCTTGGTTCTCAGCGGGGACACAGTGGGTCCAGGTGGGCTGTAGCAGGTATGTTTTCATCTATTCTGCCTCAGGCACTGTGGCACTGGATGTCAGGAAAGACTGACCTTAACCCTTTGGGATTTGCACCAAGCACAGTAGGCCAGGCTCCAGCGCTGACAGCTCACGTTGCCCCAGAAGTGGGCAGAGCAAGACAGTCAGGACAGAAGCATGCATTTGCTTCTATGCATAGAAAGTACATTTGTACTTAGCTGAAGTGTGGTCCTTTCTCTCCGATTTCTCTCCTTAATCCCGTAATCAGAGTCATCTCATTCATGGCCTTTTATAATGTTGAGGGAGGAGGCTTTGCCTGTATCTTGGGTGGGAGCAGGGGTCTGAGCTCAGAACTAATTTTCTTTCTCCCCTGAAATTCTTATCTCAGGGATGTAGGTTGCTTTGCAAGCTCAATATCTTGCCAAGATTTCTTTCATTTTTCTTTTTAAATCTTACATTCCTAGATTAAGCAGTGAAGAGTCAGTGTCTTGTCCAGTGTCCCAGCTGCATCACACCTGGCATCCCACTTGTAACTGAGACCTGAAGTCCACTGTAGCAGAGCACGTGGGGACTTGGTGGAAGGTCCCAAGCTTTGCTGGGGGAAGGGAGTTGGCATTTCCTGGGAGAAACCAGCACCAGCCTGAATCTCCGTGAGCCTCCTCTGCCCCCTGCTGGCTAAGTGGGGGTTTAGCACGCTGGGAGACATCCCCATGGAAGGAGGGCGCACTGTCCCTTGGCCTTGTAGCAAGCAAAGGCACTGAAGGTAAAGCTTTCAGGTGGGTTCTTTCGGATGTCTTTGCCTGAGAATCCAAGAGTTGCTACTGTTTGCCTTTGGAGTACCTAATAATGCTGCTGTTTGGGGCAGTAAACTTGCAGAAGAAACAGAAGTATCCAGTTTTGCTCTACCTTCCTGTGTATTTCAGGTCTAGGCCAAGGGATAGCAGAACTGGCATGAGGTAGTACTTTAGAGTGAGGTGATGGCTGTGAAGTCAGTGAGTGCCCTTGGGGACACAGGTCCTTTAGCCAGTGAACCAAGATGTGCTGCCACAAGCCCCATACCCAGCAATGCCTGGCAGCCTCTCCACTATAGGCCTCATACCTGAGCCACTTGTAATAAACCACATGCTTGTCTTCTGTGGCCCTGTGACTGTGGCCATGGAACAGTCATGCTGTGCACCTTGTGACATGGCCTCACAAGGAAAGTTGCCGCTTAGTCCCAGGGGAGAGCTGAAGTCCTCACCCCTGCCCCAAGCCAGCCACCCACCACTTTTCACAGGGACAATGCTGACTGGGTCCAGGCTGCTGGGAGGCTGAGGGCAGGGATAGCCCAGAAGTCAGTGACCTGAATGCCCAAGTCAGCCCAGAGGTCTGATTGCCTGCAGATCCCTATGTGTGTGACAGAGGAGTGAGCTGGGAGCCTTCTCCCTAAACCCCACGACAGAGGCCCAGAAGCCATACTGGACCTCACATCTGGGCAAGGTGGCTGCTGCCTGGACCCCACCTGGCTTTGGAGGTGGGCAGGCTGCGGTTCAGCAAGGCCTGGGCTTAGAGCTGCTCCCTGGCTCCTGAGTGAGGGGCAACAGTTACCTGCCTCTGTTTACCATTGATTGTTAAATGCAAAATTGAGAAAAGGTCTGCATGTTTCCCTAGCTGCTGGGCATGCAGGATACCAAGTGTGAAACATAAGAAGCTGGTGGGCCAGGATCCAGTCAGTCTCCAGAGCCCAGGCAGCATGTTTGAGGGGACTGCTTCATCAAAAGCACAGGCTGTGGGAGAAGAGCCACCCCCATTCTGCCACTTCTCAAACAGTGGCAGGAAGGAGGGCTGTGGTCCCCAGCTGCTCCTGCCGGCCCACAGCCCTAGGGAATGGAAGTGGTTTGGTCCCTTCTTGCTCAAGTGAGTTGCTGCTAGGGAGGGAACCTTGAGCACAGTGGGCCTGGCCTTGGACTGGATGGAAGGAAGACACATGCGCGCGCACACACACACACACACACACACACACACACACACACACGTACACATTCTCTTCTTTTTCTCTGTGAAAAGGAAGGGTTTGGAAAGTGCTGGGATTGCTGGGGAGGCTAGGCTTAGGTTTTCCTTTCCCCAGGGACAAGAAGAGGCACATGGGAGGCCCCTGGCTCCTGGGAGACCATTTGCTGCTCTCTTGGAGGAATTTGGGATGGGTTTGGGGAAGCAGGCTACAGAGGGCCTGGGCCGCCCCTCTGGAATCCCTGTTGTCTCATTGGGCTTTAAGCATTTAAAACTGGATGACAGGTCCCATCACTGGATATTTATTTGGAAATAAAGCTGCTGCTGAATCCAGGCCGGTCTCGTGTCAGGTGGTTTTGCGAATGCCTAGGTTGTCTGCTCTTAAGACTCTGCTTGGGTCCCCGTGCCTACCCTGCCTCTCACGTATTCCCAAGAAGAGCAATGCCAGGAGCGGTGCTCTGAGGGAAGCTGGCCTGGGTCTGCACCGACCTCGAGCCCTTAGGAGGAATACATGAGGCCAGTGCATGGGCCCAGCCCAAGCCTGGCTGTGACTTTCCTCTCCAGTGCTGGAAGCCCATTGTCCTGTTCCCATGGGCCACTTGGCAGGCCCACCTGGGTGGCCTCAGTGCTAGTAGACCGCCTGATAGTCAAACAAAGGACTTTACTGAACCCACAGGGTTGCAGGAGATGGGCCATCCACTCCTCAGATAGGAGGGGGCATGTGCAGGGAGGCTGGGCCAGGAGTTTGTTTAACCTCCCGTGCTTCATTGGAGTGCATATAGTACCACACACAAACCAAATGTGCCGGTCATATCAACACAGGACTTTGGTCCTGGCCTGGCTATGTGGCATGAACTGGGTCCCCTGCTTTCTTCTAGCCCTGGAACTCATCCCACTTCACCCCCAGCCAAGCAGGGAAGAAGGAATCACACCTGGAACCTACCTGGACCCAGGCTGTTCCAAGCCAGCTTCAGGGAGCGGGGCTCAGGAGGCTCCCCTCTACCACTTGGGACAGACATCTGGGCTCCGAGGAGTAGTTCTCATCAAATCTACAAGTGTGGTGACACATGGTGACTGACACTTGACCTTGGTGACAGAAAGACTGGACCCTGGCAAATAGAATTCCCAGGCTGGGAAGCACGGCTTCAGCATGAACAGTGGAGTCTGAGGTAAGAGGCAGGGAGGGTCCTGAGCAGGCTCCAGGCACCTGCCACTGGGGATTGTGTGCTTTGCATACACACCTCAACCTTCTCAACCTTCCTGGGACAAGCACTAGGGTGGAGGGAGCAAGGAGAGAAATGATTGCCCTGGAGTTCAGAAAGCTGGGGAGAGGGACAGAGAAGGTAATGCACAAAGTCCAGGCCCCATAAGCCCTCTTTCCACACAGGTGCTCAAGATGCATCTCAGGAGAAAAGTCAGTACGTGCTTTAAAGTGCACATCGCAAGCTTCTCAGTCCCCATGTGACAGACCTGTTGGTGTCACCCATGCCATTTCTCCCTGTGCTCCATCATCTTGGCTAAGGGCCATTTTGTTTGCATAGTGGGTGACCCATGGTTTAAGGGACTCTGGGCATGATCTGGTCAGCTCTTCTACTTGTCTGACATTGAGAAACACGCCTATGACTTAATTTGGCAAAAAAATGAAGCAGTATCTTGAGGAATTTCTAGAACTGTTTGCTCATTCAAGTGCCGAGCAAGCATGAGCCCTGAGTTCAAACCCCAGTACTGCCAAAAAAAAAAAACCCAAAATCTCAGGGACAGGAAGCATCTTCCATTGTCTGGTCTTTGCCTCCAGTTACAAAAGGATATAATGCCTGGATCTGCTGCAGCCAATATGAGACGAGGAGGGAAGACTAGCAAGATGCAGGGCAGAAAGCCAGAAGCCATTCAGTTCTTAGTGACACTATGGCCATCCTAGGACTAGCCTCCTTTGGGTTCAAGTTCTGTGAGACAATCCAAATTCCTGTTTATACCTCTTCTGGCTGGGCTTTAGGTTACAACGGAAATAATCCTGTCACAACTCTAGAAATGACAACAACAGATTCCAGAACAAAATCGACAGCATCAGCTTGGGGAAATGAAAGTAACAGTTTATGTGAATTTAGGAAAAGCCTAAGGGGTGAATGCAAAAGTTCAACTCTGCTGTTTGTGCCAGATGCTGGTGGCTCACGCCTGTAATCCTAGCTACTCAGAGGCAGAGACCAGGAGGATCAAGGGTCAAAGCCAGCCCCAGCAAATAGTTTGTGAGATCCTATCTTGAAAATACCCAACACAAAAAGGGCTGGTGGAGTGGCTGCCTAGCAATCATGAGACCCTGAGTTCAAACTCCAGTACTGCAAGAAAAAAGAAAGATCCCTTTTAGCTGGGTGCTGGTGGCTCATGGCTACAATCCTAGCTACTCAGGAGGCAGAGATTAGTATTGTTGTTTGAAGCCAGCCCCAGAGAATAGTTTATGAGACCCTATCTTGAAAAAACCCTTCACAAAAAAAAGGCTGGTGGAGTGGCTCATGGTGTAGGCCCTGAGCTCAAACCCCAGTACCACACACACACACACACACACACAAATCTTGGTATGGGTTTGAACTCAGGGCCTCACACTCGCTGGGCCAAGTGGGAATGGGCAATACTAGGAAATAGGAGTGTGGGGGCAGTAGAAGTAGGAGGCAGCTGGGCTGGGGGGAGGGCAGCTCTAGACACTGCTGAGCGCTAGGAGAGTGTGAGTCCACACTGCTGGGCCAGGAGAGAGCATCTGGAAGGGAGAAGAGGGAGGCGTGTGTTTAAACAGTTAAGGGGACCGTTTGTTGCTCATGATAGAGTGCCCTATGCAAAAAGAAAACACGTGATGGTGGCACCTCTGGTCCCAAGTGCCAATGAGACAGGAGGTTCACTTGAGCCCAAGAGTTCAAAGCCAGCCTGGGCAACATAGACCCTGTTCCCAAAAAAAAAGAGCTGGCAGAGTGGCTCAAGTGGTAGAGCACCTGCCTAGCAAGTGTGAAACCCTGAGTTAAAACCCCAGTGCTGGTCCCCAAAAGATAAATAGATGGAAAAAAAAAGAATATTTCATGACATAAAAATCACATGAAATTCAAATTTTAATGTCCATAAAGTTTGTCTTTTTTTTTTTTTGTGGGACTGGGGTTTGAACTCAGGGCCTTGTGCTTAGAAAGCAGGCGCTCTACCGCTTGAGCCACACTTCCAGTCCATATTGCTCTGGTTACTTTGGTGATGGGGTGTTGGGAAGTATTTGCCCGGGCTGGCCTCAAACCACAATCCTCCCCACCTCAGTCTCTCAAGTAGCTAAGAGTACAGGTGTGAGCCTCCCTATTTGATTCTTAAACAGCACAGACAACCAGGAGTTGGTCCTGAGAGTCTGACCCCAGCCCTGCCCTCACTCCATCTGCCTTTGGGTAAACGCAGGGCTCCAGTGCTCTGTGTGAGCAGCTGACACTCTCTGAGGCCACTCCAGGCCTGTCTCTCCAGCAGTCACAACTAGGCTTAGTCATGGTGACAAAATCAAAATTAGCAGTGGCTTCCCTAGTGCCCTTGAGAGCCAGGGTTCTTGGCATAGGAAGAGAGGTAAGTGACATCAACTATAAATTCTGTGGTCCCAAGTTTGAATTTGAATGATAAGTATAAACTTGTGATGCAAATTTGTGAAAATGTAAATATGCCCAGACTCTGCCCACTGGAAAGACCTAGAAATGAAGACCAGTCCAGTACCAGTAAGCACCCCAGCCTTACCTCAGATTGTGGCCTCCAAATGTCATTCTTGCAGCCAAGGTCCCCAGGACCTGTCTGATGCCAGGACTGGGGCCCGAAGTGCACAGATGAGCCTAGGGCACCTGTCCTTCCAGATGGCCAAGGGAGGTTTCTTTTTATAGGCGTATCCACTTGGAAAAAGAACAGAATTGGCATATCTCCATTTTGCCACTTCCAGTGCAGTGATGGAGCTCAGTAGGAAATAGCAGCCTTAGTGACTGTTACTATCCCAGAGGACAGAACGAGACATTGTGTGTCTCCGGTATTCTCACCGAAAGATTCAACCCAGCACAAGCAGACCCGAAGTGGAGCCCACCACCATGTGACACCCTCACCAACAGAAAGAAAGGCATCCCTGGTTGTCTCAGTCCCAACGGAAGAAGCATTGACAAAGGTCCGTGTCCTTTCCTGATAAAAGCTCTCAGGAAACCAGGAATACCAGAACTGCCCCAACACAGGGAGGCCAGAGAGGCGACTCCATGGCTGATCTGCACATGGTGAAAGGTGGAAGCTTTCCCCAGAGACCAGGAAGGAGGAAGGAGCTCACCTTGCTGCCTCGCTCCTGCACAGCCCAGAAGTCCTAGCAGAGCAAGGCAAGAAGACAAGAAACATCCACACTGCTAAGGAAGAAGTAATGTTATCTCTGCAGATGATGCGATGTTACAGGAACCCAACCCTAAAGAGCACACGCACGCACGCACACACACACCTGCTAGAGCTAAGAAATGAACTCCACAAAGTTGCAGGACGTCAGATTGACACACACAGTCTGTAGCATCTCTACCCACCCACGACAGTCTGAAAGAAATGGGGACAGAGAACGATCCTTACCCATGGCTTACCCAAGGGGAGAGACTCACTGAGAGCCTCATCACTGCCCATGGAAGCCAAAGTAGGAGGTGGGGCCTACAGGGTGGTAGCTGAAGGCTGCTGCATGGTGACAGTGTAGGTGAAGCTGGCAAGCCAGGGGTTCTTGGGCAAAATTTGGATCAGCCAAGGGGCTGGCTGATCGAGTCCCTGGTCCTGGCTAGGGTCTGACCCATGGTGCCATATGCCTATCCTGCCCTCAGCATGAGGATGCAACAGTGGCTGGGAAGGTGTCATTCAGTAGCCCACACTGCGAATTCCAGACCAAGCCCGCCGTGGAGCTGGAGAACGGGATTGACAGCAGTGTGAAGAAACCATCGGAGCCCTGAATAACCTCTGCACAA